CATATGTTGGGAACATGATTCCCTTCCTTAGACACCCCTCCCTCCCAGTATAAAGACCAGCCACTCAGGCTTGATCTGCTGGCAATGCCCCTACTTATACAGCCGAAAATGCCATTAGCCTTCTTGGCAACAATGTTGACTCATATCCCGCTTCTCGTCCACTCTGACCCCTAGGTCCTTTTCTGCAGAACTGCTACCTAGCCATTCGGTCCCTAGTTTGTAGCAGTGCATGGGATTCTTCCATCCTAAGTGCAGGACTCTGCACTTGTCCTTGTTGAACCTCATCAGGTTTTTTTTGGCCCAATCCTCTAATTTGTCTAGGTCCCTCTGTATCCGATCCCTACCCTCTAGCGTATCTACCACGCCTCCTAGTTTAGTGTCATCTGCAAACTTGCTGAGAGTGCAGTCCACACCATCTTCCAGATCATTAATAAAGATATTAAACAAAACCGGCCCCAACACCGATCCTTGGGGCACTCCACTTGAAACCGGCTGCCAACTAGACATGGAGCCATTGATCACTACCCGTTGAGCCCGACGATCTAGCCAGCTTTCTATCCACCTTACAGTCCATTCATCCAGCCCATACTTCTTTAACTTGCTGGCAAGAATACTGTGGGAGACCGTATCAAAAGCTTTGCTAAAGTCAAAGAATAACACATCCACTGCTTTCCCCTCATCCACAGAGCCAGTTATTTCATCATAGAAGGCAATTAGGTTAGTCAGGCACGACTTCCCCTTGGTGAATCCATGCTGACTGTTCCTGATCACTTTCCTCTCCTCTAAGTGTTTCATAATTGATTCCTTGAGGACCTGCTCCATGATTTTTCCAGGGACTGAGGTGAGGCTGACTGGCCTGTAGTTCCCCGGATCCTCCTTCTTCGCTTTTTTAAAGATGGGCACTACATTAGCTTTTTTCCAGTCATCCGGGACCTCCCCCGATCACCATGAGTTTTCAAAAATAATGGCCAATGGCTCTGCAATCTCATCCGCCAACTCCTTTAGCACCCTCAGATGCAGCGCATCCGGCCCCATGGACTTGTGCACGTCCAGTTTTTCTAAATAGTCCCAAACCACTTCTTTCTCCACAGAGGGCTTTTCACCTTCTCCCCATATTGTGCTGCCCAGTGCAGCAGTCTGGGAGCTGACCTTGTTCATGAAGACGGAGGCAAAAAAAATCATTGAGTACATTAGCTTTTTCCACATCCTCTGTCACTAGGTTGCCTCCCTCATTCAGTAAGGGGCCCACACTTTCCTTGACTTTCTTCTTGTTGCTAACATACCTGAAGAAACCCTTCTTGTTACTCTTAACATCTCTTGCTAGCTGCAACTCCAAGTGTGATTTGGCCTTCCTGATTTCACTCCTGCATGCCTGAGCAATATTTTTATACTCTTCCACTTCTTGTAAGCTTCAATCTGAGAATCCACTGCCACTGCAAAATATTGATTTACTGTTAATCTTCTCCTCCCTCTAGTTGTCTGTGTTGATCTAACTGACTTAACTGAAGACAGCACTAGTGTTAAAATATATCACTTCCATTAAATCCTGTAAAGGCTTGGCTGCAGCAATATGGCATGTACTTAATCTCTTTTCCTGTGGCTAGGACGATCCATTTTCGGCACTGGATATCCACTTAAGTGACCATCTTATGCAGGAAGGGATCCTGAAAATGCTAAGGGAAGACAAGAGGACCATTATCCTGGTCACCCACAAACTACAGTACCTGCCACATGCTGACTGGGTAAGAAAGCTGTCATTTTTAATGATGAAAGTGAAAAGTGACTTGTAAGTGACTTCTACTGCTATAAAATAAACATTACTGAAAATAATCTTTTTGCATTTCTGTATCAACAGATTGCATAGGGAGAATGTGTATTATTAACATTTTCAAAATTGACTAGTGATTTTGGGTGCCCTTTAATTTTTTGATTCTCAACTTGAAACACCTTAAAGGGGCCTGATTTTCAGAGGGTGGGCAATTCTGGAAATTGGGTCCCTTTTAAGGCATCTCAAGTTGAGTACCCAAAATCACAAGTCCCTTTTGAGAATCTGGTCTACATGATGTCCTTTAAACAACTGAAGCTATTGGAATAATACATCTGTTTATATCTTTGACATCATTATGCAGTTGTTTTATTACCACAGAAGAAAACCATTATAAGGAGATTGAGTCAAAGGAAGACACTAGGGGAAAAAATGCACATTTCTTGGCCTTCATTTGTAGTAAATAACATACTGAGATGGGCACGTTCCCTTTCAAAATAATTCCGGTTATTTAGGTAGTTGTCTATTTTATATCTTGTAGCTGATAGACAAAATAGAAGTAGCACTTTTATGTACAAATACCAACGTTTTGTTTGTTGTTTTGTTTTGTTTTTGATCGGGTTGCACACTTCTTCATTGTGTTGTTATCTTGCACTGGCAACACATGCCTTCCTGACCACAAGGATTGATTACTGTAATTACTTCTCCTAGCAGGGCTTCAGTCACTTGCAATACATATGTAATGCAGCAGCACAGTTATTCTCTGGCCAGAGCAAGCATTCTCATACCACTCCTGCCCTTGCATTCTTCATACTGGCTTTTCATAACGTTGCAGATAGATTTTTAAGCTGGTCCTGTTGGTTTTTAAATCTCTTTATAATGTCTGCTCTGACCTCATCCTTGGGTCATTTACCATCATCATGCTAAGATAAGCAAGCAATTCTGCCTTTGCTGTGGTGATCCCTAGGATATGGCATTCCCTCCTTCTAGACTTCTGTCTTAGTCCATCCCTTCCCATTTTTAAACAACACTTATACGCATTTTTTCCAAAGATGATTTTTTAAATAAGTACAACTGTTGGCCTCGTATTAATAACCTCTTCCCTCCTTTTCATTTCTCAAAAACACCTCTGTTGTCCTCATTTGAAATGTTATGAGAATGGTTATTAATAATAATAAATTCTTTTTAATATTGTTGTTACTGTAATACTGTATAGGCCCAAATGCATGCAGGGTGCAAAGGGGCTTTTAAAATGCAAGTTATAATTAATTGTCATTATCTAGTATTAGGCTAGATCATGCAGTCCTTTCTCAGGCAAAACTCTCATTAAAGCCAGTAGGAGTTTGTCTAAGGCAGGGCAACAAGACTTGTACTAGTTGTTGCTATTGTTATTCATTAAGAAATTTCTCAGACTTTTAATGTGAAATATATATGTCAAATAACACTCCTAAACTTTCCTGCAAAACCTTTGAGAAAATTAAAGTCAAAGTTTTAGAAGGTGTTTCCTGAGTAGAGGTCATCAAAAAATAGGGCTTTTTTTCCTGTGGAAATTTTTGGCACAAACAAAACAAAAAGTCAGTTTTTTTCCATGGAAATCAAATTTTCAGTGAAAAATCCAAATCTGAAATATTTTGGTCAAAGACTATAATAATCCGATTCACAAATGTTGCTGTGGTGCCTCATGGGAGTTGTAGTTTGGGTGCCTCGTGCTCCTATTCTCTATAGACTGGGCTCCCTGTCAGACTACATGTCCTGTGATGCACCAGAGTCCAGCCTGTGGTGAAGGGAAGCAATGCATCATGGCAGTGATGCATCATGGAAGATGAAGTCTAGGTGGTTCAAAATTTTTCAGTTTTCAGGCATTCATTTTTCAATGAAACTTTTCCATAGAAAACAGACACATTTTGAAAAAGTGTTTGTTTTTCAATGGAAAATTGGGTTTAAAAAAACGTTTTGACTGAAAATTTTTGACTAGCCCTATGCTTGAGAGGTGCTGAATACCCTCAGCTCCCATTGACTTCAGATGAAGTTGTCAGTTCAAGTCACTGAGCTTCATTTCCTTCAGCTTTCCTCAGAGTTAATCAGAAGTAATTCTGCTGAAGTTACTGGAGTTACGTTATTTTCAAACTTGTGCAAGTAAGATCAGAAGGAGGCCCATTGACTTGAAATCAATAGGAGTTGAGAGGGCCCCCCATTCTTCAGGTTTGACCAATGTAACTATAACAATTTCCTCCAAAAAGGTGTGTTTCTTCCATCTAATGTTTACTGTTTGGAAAGCTTTAATAACCAAAACCCCACTGCATTTCCCAAAGGCCCATGGTGGCAAACAGACTGTGGAACCAGAATATTTACATGTAATTTCCTGCATGAAGGGCCAAGGTGCTAGGCACAGCATGTAGCTAGAAGTCTGTGTTTTCATTTTTCAGTGGTGACAGCTCTAACTTATCAATTGTTATCTTGTTAATAAACTGTGTTTAGAGAGTTATAAGCTCCCTGTATCTTCCATCATCCTCCAGGGAACGGTACGCTAGGAACAAAGAATGAAAAGCAATCTGTGTCATTAATATGAGGCATAGGAGCTGAGGTGTGTTTTTAAAGGGAATAAGAGTTGAAGGATAAACAGGGTTAGTTTTTTTTAAGATATGGATTAATTCTCAGAAACAGTAGCTTATTTCAATGCAGAGGCAAAAATCTGTCCAGGCACCACAGTATCTCAAACTAAGGTGATATAAATAAAAAATGAAAATGAACAGACTTGAATATCCACTGCCTGCACTTTGTATGGTTATTTACGTCTGTGCAAAAGGGGTATAAAATATTACCAGGTCAGAATGATAGTGTTTTGCACTCCCTTTGCGTAAGGGGTGATGTGTATAATAGGTGTAAGGCAGTGGAGAATCAGACCCAGTGTGCCTAATTCTGTTCTTTTATGCTACTACAATGGCACTGACTTCACTGCATAAATAAGAGCAGCATTTGACTCATTCCCTATTCTCATGACACACTACAGAAGAGGTGTCATTATCCCACTTTAACAGTAGGGTTAATTGTCTTGCCCAATGTCATGTAGAAAGTCAGTAGCAGGGAATTAAAGTACAGGAGTTCCTGGCTCACTCGCTTGTCTTTATACACTCTAGGATCAGCTAAGCTCCTTGTGCTGGGGACCATCTCTTCACATATGTTTGCATAGCACCTGGTACAGTGGGGTCCCAATACTCAAAGGGGCATCTGAGCATTTTTGTAATTCAAATGTTAGTCAAATGCCATGTTATGTACTTTCTGTGCCCAAACTTGTTCTCAGTCCACTAGCTCATGCCACCCTCTTTAATTATAAAAATTAGCACACCAAGCAAAGGATTTTTTTTAAGAGAAATATGCATTTGTGATAAAATAGAGACATTCTGAGAATCTGTTGCCTTAAACTCACTGTAGGAAGCTCTTCTGCTGAGTAGCCTCAATTGCTGCTTACTCTTATTTTACATTTTTTTTAAATATTTCAACCTCTGAGAACTAAAAAGAGGTCTTTTTAAAAAAATCTGTTTTATGCAATAAGATAAATTCAACTAAATGTGGCTTGTGGGGAGGTTGTGCTGCATACCAAATTGTTTTCACGTAATATGCCATATCATTGAGCCATATCATATCTAAGAGTGTCTCATGCTGACTACAACTGATGGTGCTTGAAACATAATACATGCCATCCTACAAATGAAGCAAAAATAGATGCAATTATGGCATACATGCTGTGCATGTTCAAAGCAAATGATGCCATGATGTAAGGGCAAAGGAAGGCATATGGAACCTGGCATTCAGAGGCTGCTGAAGAGGAGAGGGAATTTCCTGTGTCATTTGGAAATAACAAATGTAGTCTGAGGATGAGGACCCCAGAATGCCAGCAGACTTTGTGTGGGCTCATATCCTGAGTTTACTTACTCCATTAAAGTGGAATTCATGTTTGAAGCGATGAACATAAGGGGCTCCATCCTGCCCTGCAATAAATCCTTTTGTGCCACTCTACCATAAAGGAGTCCTCTGCAGACATAAAACCAGAAGAGCTGGCTCTAAAACAGCTCCTTCTGCCCATCCCCTGTGGAGTAGGGGGCTTATCAGGAATGGGAGGGGGCCTGAGCATTATATGCTTTAGTAATCCTGGGTCAATGGAGCAACCTACAAGGTACCATTCCTGGACAGTACAATTTAAAATAGCTGAGGCTGCTCTAATTTATTCTGGTAGCTGGAAGAAGCCCTAGCCAGTCCCAGGATTGGGAGGAACAAAAAATTAACACCACCCCCCACCCTTTCTAGTTCACCACGCTCAGCTCAGGTGGCACATCAGAGGATTGAACCAGTGTTATCCCTGCTTGGATTTCAGCCATGATGCTTGCCGAAGCTCTGAAGATTCTGGGGATTGTAACTGTGAATAAGATCCCCATCCCTTCTGCCGGTGACAGCTATTGTGAAGTATTGGGTCCTTTCTGGAGTGAAAAATGAATGCCTTCCCGAGGAAGGGCGAGTTGCTTGTTTCTCTTAAAGAAGGGAAAGGGGAACAACTGACTAAGGGGTAGCTAAATCCTTGGCAGCACTTCACAGCCCACTCTGAGGTGGGAATGACAGAGAGGCTGGGGTTTGCTAAAATGGGAAGTGTCTTGAGTCATAATGTCAAGTAGAAACAACAAGGAGTCGCTGTGGCACCTTAGAGACTAACAAATTTAGGATATCCTCCTTCCTTTATGTATCCATGCTGTCTATATTGATCTGTGGAATAGTATTGTTTTTTTAATTTTTTGTACAGTGCCCAGATCACTGGATGGGAGCTTCATAAATATAATCAAATATCTCCTTGACAGTTTGTATTCCTAACTTCTTAGATCATTACAATGAAGGATGGTACCATTCAAAGAGAAGGGACACTCAAGGACATTCAGAAATCAGAGTCTGAGCTCTTTGAACACTGGAAAACACTCATGAATCGACAGGACCAAGAACTGGAGAAGGTTTATTATGTATTTTTTCTCAGCATCTTAAAAAATGTATTCCTTATGTGGTGAATCATTTTAAATTGAAAACATTAGTAACACTTAGTGTGTGTGTGTGTGTGTGTGTGTGTGTGTGTGTGTGTGTGTGTGTGTGTGTGTGTGTGTGTGTGTGTGTGTGAAACCTTATATCTGAATGTATCATATTTTATCCATACTAGGTAGGACCTACATCCACCCTTTTTAGTGAAGCCCTATGGGGAATTTTCTTGCATGAGGAGTATGGAATTGGACCATTAAGTAAAGAGAAAATTGAGTTAGTGACATGTACAGGAATAATTATGCTGCAAATGGAAACGTTTGTTAAATTTAACCATTGTACTGTTTTTAATTTTTTTTAAATCTTATATAACAGCCACAAATGATCATTAGACTAGATCTTGTTAATTAAACTATTACGAGATAGGAAGATCCAGCATCTGACACTATAGTTCTTACTCAGGCAGGTGCTTCCTTCCGTGGGAGCTTTGCCTGAGTGAAGGTCTGCAGAATCAGCCTCCAAAGATGGAAGGAATTCATGTCCTGACTGTCACTGTGTCAGGGGAACGTCACCTGTATTCCTTCTCTGTGGTCTACTCCAGGAGTACCCAGTCAGGTTTCAGGACTCCAGCCATGACCTGAATCTGGAAGGGACCCGGGCCCATGTCCCACTCTCTTCTCATGCGGGGGGAGGGGAGTTAAGACTGCACAGCCCCCTGCCTTACACTGTGAATCCTGGCAAGTCAGTCTGCCTAACAGCAAGGACCTGTACATTGCTTTCTTTCCAAGGGCTGTGAACTGTGTATTGCCAACAGTTGCAAGTTACCACACAGCTTTCTCATTTAATCTTAAATTAAAAGAATTACAGAGAAAATATATTAATAAATACACAGATTTAAACACACACTAAACACAACAGGGAACACCCATCAGTGTTATGGGGTAGGCCAAAGGCCTCCCAAACCTTTAGCAGAATCGAGACCCCTCAGAGAAAAGTTCATGTCCATTTGCTGGCTCTGAAAGAAGGTCCTGTTTCAGTTCAAGCTCAACTTTTTCTACCAAAAGTGCTTTCTTTGTGTCCCGGTCTCTGCCCAATTTGGACCAGTATAAGCAAGACACATCCAGAGTTGTACCACTCTCTGGGTTGTTTATAGTTTCAGAGACTAGCCTTAAATACAGCCCACACTTCTTTTTAGTTCCAGGAGGAGCTGTAGTAAGCCTCTCCCATGTAATAGAATAGCAAATAAACCACTCATAGACTTAATACAATGGTCCCCCAAAGGTACTGGGGGTTTCAGCGTTTGTCACACTGACATTAATGTCATTTGCATGATTTATGCCTTTTGTATTTAAAAATAGATGGCACATCAAACATTCATGAGAGCCAATTGTAATCCTCTCCCTTCCTTTTTACTGACACACTGATTTGAAAATACATTTTGTGACATCTGTAATTTTAAAAAACTTTATCAAGCGAAGCCACATGACTTGTCCTGCTTTTAGGAAACTATAATTGAAAGAAAACCTGTTTTGGAGAGGAAGAACCTCAGGAGGACCAGGTATTCCCGAGAAGCTCTGCTAAAAGATGATGAAGAGGATGAAGGTAAAGCAATATTTCTAAAAGGGCACCCTGAGACCCAGTGCTGACTGCATTGTCGTTTTACAGTTCAAACTGTTTTAGATAGAATCAATTCACAAATTTCAAGTTAGCAACAAAATCAGTCTTTTTCCGGAGGGACTGTGGTCTGGTTCTTTATGTGGATCCATGGCTCCTAAGAGTTACATACTAAAACTGGGCTTTAATTGCTAGTTAAAGAGAACAATCTGAAGGTGCTGGTTAACCATGGCCTTGTGAGAGCTGTCAGAATTGTTCCCACAGGATCTCTGATTTGGAAAAGCATCCCTAGTGAGGAAAGCTCTAAAGCACATACTTCATTTTAAGCATCTGCTTCACTCCCATCAAACTCAATCAGACTTAAGCATATGCTTAAGCATAACCATGGGCTTCTAAATGCTTTCCTGAATAGGGATAGATTTAAGAAAGTGCTTACATGCTTTCCTGAATGGGGGCTTTAGTAAACTTTCCAACAACAATACACAAGAGTTAGTGGGCCCAATTTTTTGATGGTGTAAAAGAGCACAGGTCCACTGACTTTTAGTGGAGTTTTGTCCAATTGCATTAGCAGAAAATCTTAGCCAGTATTTTTTGGACTGATATGTTTCGCAGTTCAAAAAATATCACTACATTTTGAAAATATTTTGTCCCTTTTTTCCAGTCAGGAAAATGCGCACACAAAAATAATCCCATATTTGATTTGGAAGTTAATATAGGAAATAACAAAGGTTGTTCCGCAACTTGTAATTTATGGTTCTGGATTGTAGAAGCCTCAGGGCAGAGAAGGTGTATCCATTCTCTCTCTACTAGGCCATGCACCCTTATGGCGCTGTAGATTGTGTAATTTAAGATATTGTGCCCTGATACTGCAATTAGCACATGGGCTGAGTACTGCTCCTACATAGAGCCCTAATGACTTCAGTGGAGTTTTGCATGGATATAGCACTGCACCCACACACTATCAATTGCCGGATTTGTTAGCGGCTCAGAGCAGGGACTGTGGCCCATACTATTGTCTATGGCTGAGGAGCACACAGTGCAGTTCAGGATGGGAGATGCAAACATGAGGCTGCTCACCTTATGACCCCTAGCTGCTCCTACGACCAGGGGAGCGCAAAAGTGGTTTTAAGACACCTCTCTTCTGCTCAGATGCACCAAAATGAGCTCTGAGGCACATGGGAATCTGCCTCTGTAGCTTAAAAAATCATAGAAGTACTTGAATTTCAAATAGGCTGCTTGCTGGAGATTTTCCTGTTCCTTTTTCAAGAAGGAAATAGAATCATAGAATATCAGGGTTGGAAGGGACCTCAGGAGGTCATCTAGTCCAACCCCCTGCTCAAAGCAGGACCAATCCCCAACTAAATCATCCCAGCCAGGGCTTTGTCAAGCCTGACCTTAAAAACCTCTAAGGAAGGAGATTCCACCACCTCACTAGGTAACCCTAGGTAATAGTGTATCCACAATGTATTTAGAGCTATCCATGTGTATTAAAGTATTTGAATGTTTATTTGACAAATTTACCAGATCATTTAGGGGGGAATTTTCTATGCCCACAAATCCTACTGTGCACAGATTAATTTATTAGCAGTTATTTAAGAAACTTATGTTTCATGAAAACTAATTTTAGGTGAGCCTCAGAAGCCATGATAATGTAGCATTCATATACCCATGCTATTTCTTTCATAGTGATAGTCATGCAAAGGTTATATTTTCTTCTGTATTACAAATAAATTAATTTACAAAGATTAAATTATTCCAAGCATGTATAAATCATGGCATCTGGAAAAAAATTCTGAGTACCTTTTAAATAATTAAACGCTATCTGAATGTGAGAGAATGGATGAATTAAAGCTGAATAGCTAGTGACAGTTGAATTTACAGACCTATCTATAGCCTGGGAACACTGGCTTATGCTTTTACCTTGAAAAGAAAATCACTGTTTTATTTCATTATTATCAAGAAAATCTTGAACCAGTAAACTATAAATGTCACAAATACATTGGTGTAAAGACATGGATTATTGAGGGCCAACTTTTCCTTCACTTATGACCATGCACTTATGACTGACTCCAAAGGTGTTGTGCTGGAAACTGAGGAGGTAATTTCACCCTAAAACTGTATTCCATTCAGTAAGCTAAGCATGTTGTCCATGTATGAAGATGCAAGTGCTCCTTTATTCGCTTTCTCTCCCCTCTGGTATTAAGTTAAATCTCCTCTCTTCAGTTTCAAGCTGTGTGCAACCCCCACCCCAGCCTTCATCTCTGATCTTATTGCCTCTACACAAACTCCTATTCCTTATGTTCCACCTCAGTTTCAATCTTGACTGCTGTCTTATACTACTTCTTCTATCTCCCACTTCACTCCATTTCATGCAGTCCCTTATGCTTGGAATATTTGCCAAGTGCCCACTCCACTCCTTCAAAAAACAACTCTGATCTCCTGCTGGTTCTGTGAGGAATATTTGCTATAATAATCACCCTGCAATTTCTGAGTGTTCTGCACTGCATTTTACTTGTTCCTTTAAAATGCAATTTGTTGGCATATTTGTTTGCCATATTTAACCCATCAGAGAGCATGTTCATTTACAGCATTGTGGTTAGGATTCTGCAAAGCTCCTAAGCACCAGCCTTGGGACTTTGCTGAATTGGGGCTTACGTAAGTAATAGATAAAAATGTGTAACTAACAAACAGATGCATTGATGAAAAATTCATGGCATGTGAATAGTTTGAATTGTCCTTTTATTTTGCAATTTGGCACCTGCCATTTGATATGGGAAAAAATGAATAGAAAAGGTTTCCAGGGCAATGTTACAATCCAACAGTCTTTTTTCCCCCCGTTGATTACAGAAGAAATAACAGAAAGCGATGATGATGACAACCTATCTTCTGTGCTACATCAGAGAGCAAAGATGCCTTGGCGAGCCTGTGGGAAGTACCTCAGCTCAGCAGGGATTCTGCTCTTGCCTTTACTGGTCCTTTCACAGCTCTTAAAACACACAGTTATGGTGGCTATTGACTACTGGCTTGCACAGTGGACATCTGATGTCATTTCTGCAAAGAGTGACGTAGAACAAAAGAATTGTTCTGCATGCCAGGTACCGTACTTCTAAGTCAATTCTTTTATTTGACAAAGAAACATCTCCCAGTGCTAACTTCTGCTTGACCAATGACATGCAATATGCTATATTCCTTCTAAACTGTACATCACAGAATGTTTTCAGGGCCATCACATTTTCGGGGGCGGGGGGTGTTTTTGTTTTTGTTTTTTAGTTTTTCTCTCTCTCTGCTCTTCTTTTCTTTTTGCCACCCTTAGCATTGCTTGACAGACTATGTTTGCATCTCTAAAATAGTCTTAATAGAACTTACAGCTCTTCTTTTTTTTCTTTTTCTTTCTGTGCTGCAGCATTCTGGCTGCTGGTAGAGCATTCAGGCTGAGTTTCTTAACAAGCGGGAACAAAGATCTTTCAAAATGAACTGTCTGTTCCGGGTTATTCTTCTTTGATTGACTTTATCTTAATTTTGCACAGAATGGTAGGCTTGCCTAAGATTGGCAAAGTGTGATATATACAGTGCAGTCATGCATATTTCCATCCCAGCTTCCTTTGGCATTAAATTACCAATAATCACTAATTTACCTTGCTAATTGCTCAGGTGAACCAGAGAGTCACCTCCCAGGGGATTTTATCCTGCCAAGGAAAAAAGGCATCATTTGTGTTGAACAACATCGTCGTAATTAACGTATTTTTAAGACAGATTAATTAACCATCCCCATGGATCTGATACAACAATCACATTATTTCATTAAAATTCCAGTTGTTTTCTCTGAAGGGATTAATGTCTGTAAAGAAGCAGTCTTGACAATGGTCTAAATATGGTTTTAAACATTTTTCAATCCAAGGTATCACAAGTAGTGGCTGGATGGAAACCTAGGGTGAAATCCTGATGCCATTGAAGCCAAAGAGGAGTTTTGCTATTGTCTTCAGTGAAGCCTTTGATTCTTCCCTAGAGAATATTTTATTAAAGCTGAGTTTTAATGGGAAGTTATTAACAATTTATTTTACATTTTTATGGCCTCTCTCCAGCTCCCACTGAAAAGGGGCTACTACCATGTCATATTACAGTCTTTAAAGGTATCTGTTTCTCCAACTGGAAGCAACTAATGCATAAAATCCTTGGATTCTTTTTATGAGATTCCATGGCTTTCTAATTTTTAATCTAATCCAAATAGCATATTTTCCTGAATAATGCTTAATTATGGCAGAGACTCATTGGCAAAACAAAATGGGGAAGCTTGTGCTGTCCCTGTTGTGTAGAGGGAAAGAGAACTTCTTCCTCAAGGCTGTCGATCCCACCTCCCCTTCTCTTAACGCAAACTGTATTTTAAATTATTAAAATATTAAAAATAATATTTTTACTTCTGTTTCTTTACTACTTAGGAATTTAATCATTCTCGCTATTCAAGGGTGTTCAGCATTCTCTGCTGCCTTGGGATTATATTGTGTCTTGTCACGTCAATAGCAGTGGAGTGGACTGGTCTAAAAGTTGCCAAAAAACTACACTATTGTCTGCTGAATAAAATTATTTTGGCACCAATGAGGTACTACTTTGATTCTAATGTAAGAAGTAGTGCAGGGTAGAGACTTGATATTCCTTATTTCAAGGCAGCCTTTCCTGTGCAGTTCCATTCTGAAATTACTATGAATAAAAAAAATGTGAAGTGGCTCACTGAAAGTCAATAGACACTACACATGTTTACACTATATAAAAATTCTACCTTCTGATTCAACAGATTGATTCCCCAGAGTCATATCTGCTGAAAATAAGTTTTTACTTCTTTTTACTCTTTTACACAAGAGAAAACAGGAGGAGGAGTCCATGAGCTGCAGATTCTATTCCATGATATTCATCATCAATGGAAACATTTGCTGAGGTATAAATATTTACACCTGAGCAACTCTGTTGAAGATAACAGAATGGAAGAAGTATCACCAAGCGTGTCATTAAAGATAGTGGGATTGCACAGGTGTTGCTGTGGTCCTAATTTGGCCTTTATAACTGTTATTTCTGGTGATGATGCATGAGAGGGAAAGAACCCAGCTTGACTGTCAGAGCTCAGGATAGGGCTGGCAGTTAGAAAAACATCTTTTTATTTGCAAGCTTCATTTGACAAGGAAGTCATTGAGGGACAATAAGCATGGAATCCTACAACACTATTTTTGCAAACTTACTTTTCAGAATAGAACCACACTTTAAAGTTAACTCTAATGATGGAAAGGTGTAACCTTCATTTAATCTTTGTTTTATGTATGCATACTTAATGGATAGAATATAAAATTAACACTAAATAGAAAAATGAAATAAACAGTAATAGAGTTAACATCCGCTCTGCATCCTTTTAAAAATCCTTTCTAAATTATTTGATATCCTTTGCTTCCTGTACTACAAAAAGATCCCAATGACTTTGGTGGACTGTAACCTAAAATACACACCTCCCTATGGTCACCTTGCTGTCATGTCCCCACAATAACTTCAGGTCATTTAAAATGTTATTAATCCTTTTACACTGATAATTTTTTCACTACTGTATGTTGCTATTCCAAGAAAAATTAATATGATCATGCAAGACTTGCAATTACATTTTGTCTGTATTTTTCCTCGTTGAGGAGTGCTTTGTGTGTGAGAGTAATACATAATTAAACAACATTTCATATTATATATAATATATTTATAATATGAAATATTTTGTTTATTTCATTATGTAACTTGTATTGTGCAGGGAAGTCATGCGAAATCTAGAGTGATGATTCATAGTGCTAGGACACAGTTATTCCTTTATTATGTCTGGTTTTGGAATAAGTTTGGGCTGACTTCAGCACAACAGAGACTATAGACTATAGACCTATTACTCATTCCCCACTGTTATCAATAGATTGTGTTCCAGCTCAGTACAGAGCTAAAGAGAAATGGAAAGAAATGGGAAAGTATTTTAATATCTACTCGTGTATTAACTTTATGACCTTTCCTATTTACTGTCCATTTTAGATTTTTTGAAACAACACCACTGGGAAGCATCTTGAACAGATTTTCAGCTGATTGCAACACCATCGACCAGGTACAGAGACCAAATAAATCTATTCTCCAGAAATGCATGCCAATTTTCCCCTATCATCTTCAGCACAGAAAATGTACTGTCTGAATGCCGCCAGGTTGTGTTAAGAGGAACTAAATCTCATTTAGCTATAACTGATCTGAGAATTTTGTTGCGTTTTGAATGCATTTTATATTTGTTTCCATTATGGCTTGCAGTGTTCAGAAAAAGGGAATCCTGTTTTTAAAATCCATGCTGAAATACTTGTTTGGTTAGAGGCTTTCCAGATGCTGGAGGGTCTTGGTTATTTTATTTCTTCTATAAAGAAATGTAAAGGGACACATTCTTGTCTCAGGGTTGGAGCACTTGCACCAGAATGAACTAAACAGATGTTTAGAGCACCTCCAACTAAAGAGGGTACTTAGGATAGTCACAGGCCTTGAAGCTGACTGGTTATTAACGACATCTGTATTGCTAGCTGTGCAACATGTATTCTTTTGGAAGAATGTGCTGTGCAATGTATGCATGCAGAGGAGCTACATAGAAATGCTATCAGGTTTCCCCAGAATCCACCAGCCAGCTCAGAAATGTTAATCTTCAAAGTTATGGTATCCTTTTTTTGGTGAGTGGGAGGAGGAAGAATGAGATAAGATGTTGTCTTGTATATTACTCCTTTGTTTGCTTTACCTTTGATATTTAACGCTCTTTATTTATCCAGCACATTCCTGCTACCCTGGAGTGCCTGAGCCGCTCCACTTTGCTGTGTGTATCCGCTCTTGCTGTAATCTCCTTCGTCACGCCAATGTTTCTCATTGCCCTGCTTCCTCTTGCTATCATATGTTATTTCATCCAGAAATACTTTCGAGTGGCCTCAAGGTAAGAGCATTGACGGGGCTCATTCTGGTATTCTGAAATTCATGGTCTGGTACCAGGGAATAGAGAGTTTTAAACTGGACCCTGCCAAGGCTGTATCCCTACATGAAAGCAAGTCAGGTCTATCACAGTAAAAATGTATCATTTTACAGCTGCATTGTTTATAACTATTAAATTAGAATTTCTGAGTGGGAGAAAAGTTTGTTTCCATCATTAAACAAATGACCATGCCAGAATTCACAATCCACAAAACAAGGGCCAAATGCTAGCTTCTCCAGTGGGGTTGAGCCTTAGGAGAAGTGTGAAGATATAGCAGCAAAGCAGAAATGGCCAAAGGCATTTAGCTTGACCAGGGCAGATGGAAATGAAAAGTTCAGGGATCAAGGAGGAAAATTGAGAAGTGGAGCTTATTCCGCATCAGTACCACAGTTGCCTCTAAAAGATGCAGCATTCACTCACACCCTCAGTTGCTACTAGATGCCAGCAGGCCCATAAAGAGTTGGGAGACCTCAACAATATCCCTGTTTCTGTCTTTGTCCCTTTACAGCCACGTAGATCCCCTCTCCACAGTGTTCAAGGAGTGCGAGTGGAAGCCTTCTGCCTAGATCCTGCATATGTGTCCAAATTGAGAAGGGGCTACCTGCGCCCTTTCCCACTTCCTGCAGGACTAAACAGAATTAACTTTACATAGATCATCAATGCCTACATTTATTTGGTGGTTATTGCTAAGCAGTGTAACAAAAATCCATTGCTTATATTCATTTGAGTTAATTGAAGCCAGAATGGTGTTTCAGAAGTAAATCATTCCACATGAGAAACTGGAATATAGGAACAAGGTGCATGTGGGGGTGAAGTGCAGTAAGACCTCCCAGAGCTCCAGCACTGTGTGTTTGAGTTTAGTAAGAACGATCCTCCTGCTTTTCTAGGAGTATCTGTCTTAGTGCAAGAGTCCCATTAGTAACATCTCAGAGTCTTTGCATTTGAAATTCTGCCATTTTAGGCTCACGGGCATGAGATTCTGTTCTGTAGATGTTCCATTTTACTCCCCAAGACACTGTAGTGCCTGTTTCAAAAGGATCACTGTACTATTAAAACTGATTTTTCTTTTTTAAATCATTTCCAGGGACCTGCAACAGTTGGATGACAGCACCCAGCTGCCATTACTTTGCCATTTTTCAGAGACTGTGGAAGGTTTAACCACTATACGAGCTTTCAGGTATATTTTGAGAAAAAAATTGTATTCTGTTTTGATATATATTAGATATAGGATATATGTCATGAACAAAATGTTCAGCCTGCCCTTAACTGGCACCCACTTTTACACCTCCAGTTTTGTAGGTGCAGATAATTATAGTTTGGGTCACTTAGAAGTTTAAGTACCTAACTGCATCAGTAAATGGAGTTCTTGGACACTTAAGTGACCTAAAATGTGGATGCCAATAATTTCAGAGGGGGGCAAAATTGCAACCCCGGTTATTTGATCCACACTTGCAAGAATGGAGGCTGGTGCTACAAATCTGGGCATTTATGAAGAATTTAAATAACAATGCAATGATCTTTAAGTCCTTGCTTGCCTGACTGGTCCTTGGCCATAACCAGGGCCGCCCAGATGGGGGGGGCAAGTGGGGCAATTTGCCCCGGGCCCCGCAGGGGCCCCCACAAGTATGTCGGAGGCTCCTCCCCCGCCTCCGTCTTCCCCCATGCCCTGGCGTCTTAGCCGGTAAGGGGGAAGGGGGCGGGGCTGCGAGCTGCAGCCGAGCGGCGGGAGCTCAGGCCCCGCTGGAAACACCACACCACTGCAGCGCTGGACACGGCGCGCTGAGGCTCTGGGAGAGGGGGTAAGTGGCATGGTAAGGGGCCGGGGCACCCCCCGACACCACCCCCCACAGCCCTGACCCCCAGCTCCGAGCCCAGCCCCTCTGAGCCGGACACCCGCCTGACCCCATCTCCCCACAGTCCTGAGTCCAGCCCCTGTGAGCCGGGCACCCCGCAACCCAGAGCCCAGCTCCCACCCAGCCCTGGGCAACAGCAGCACACCCCCAGGCAGCGACAGCCCATTGGCACCAACCATCACCATCACCCAGCAACAGCCCATTATGTAATTGCAAATTATACATACCATTAAAGCATTTAATGTTTTTAAATAATGTATTTTCAAATTATTACAAATTAATTTTTGAATGTATTTCACTAGTTATTTTTTACATTTCCAAATACATGTTACTATAGTATTGCAACTTTTTTTTATGGAAGGGGCCCCCGAAATTGCTTTGCCCCAGGCCCCCTGAATCCTCTGGGCGGCCCTGGGTGTAGATAGCAGTATGTCGTTGGGAAGGCTTCTCTCATCGACATAGCTACCGCCTTTCGGTAAGGGGGACTACCTACGCTGATGGGAAAAGCCCTCCGGTCAACATAGGTAGCATCTTCACTAAGCGCTACAGCAGGGCCGCCCAGATGTGGGGGCAAGTGGGGCAATTTGCCCCAGACCCCGGGCCCCACAGGGGCCCCCACGAGAAAGAATATAGTATTCTATGGTATTGCAACTTTTTTTTATGGAAGGGGCCCCCAAAATTGCTTTGCCCCAGACCCCCTGAAACCTCTGGGTGGCCCTGGCCATAACATCTATTTAGACCTTCAGAAACAGCTGAGGAAGATCTAATAACACACCTGAGTTGTGCTTCTGTATTCCAAATATTATATTCCCTGAGGTGTGCCAGTCAAAGTTCTGCCAAACCTACCAGTTGCTTCCTCAAACCCCAAAGCCCAAAGCCAGTTAACCCTCTTCCAAGCCCCTGTCTCATCTACACATACACATATGTTGCAAGTTAACATTGCTGCTGACAACTCACCTTTGGAATTCTATAATTCTTTGTGAAAACAATGAGTCCTTGTGGTACCTTAGAGACTAACAAATGTATTTGGGCATAAGCTTTCGTGGGCTAGAACCCACTTCATCTGAGGTTTCAGGGGGCCTGGGGCAAAGCAATTTTGGGGGCCCCTTCCATAAAAAAAGTTGCAATACCATAGAATACTATATTCTTTCTCGTGGGGGCCCCTGTGGGGCCTGGGGTCTGGGGCAAATTGCCCCACTTGCCCCCACATCTGGGCGGCCCTGCTGTAGCGCTTAGTGAAGATGCTACCTATGTTGACGGGAGGGCTTTTCCCATCAGCGTAGGTAGTCCCCCTTACCGAAAGGCGGTAGCTATGTCGATGAGAGAAGTGGGTTCTGATGAAGTGGGTTCTAGCCCACGAAAGCTTATGCCCAAATACATTTGTTAGTCTCTAAGGTGCCACAAGGACTCCTCGTTGTTTTTCCTGATACAGACTAACACAGCTACCGCTCTGAAATAATTCTTTGTGGTCATTCCTGTACAACCTTAATGTTTCATTTACATAATTGTATAATATTCTTCATCCACAAAGTTATGAACCTATAGGGTCTTTTGCATTTAATTTCCTTTCTTTTCTGTTTTATTTTTTTAAGAATAGAAAAAATTGAGATCAAAAACATATTGCCCGTATTTAATTATGTTAGTATTTAAATTGTCCCAGTCAGGCTCTGAACTTCGTAGCTGAATGAGAGTACAGTATGCTGGCATTTTGCTGCTGTTTGGAAATCAGCATAGTATTTTCAGTATTAGTTATTATGATTTTGCTTGTTGTTTGTTTAAGTGCCAACTGTCTTCTCTAGTTTATTGGTATGTGTTCCCCTGTGTGCCTCATTAGGGAAATTTATTATTCCATTCTGGTTTTAATCCTCGCTTTTCACTTTGTCTCTTATCCCGATCCTATTCGACTCTGGCAGAAATTGAGAGATTTTGTGACTATTAGTGCTGCACTGCTTCAGATTTTGCTACAATAAATCACTCCTAATACCATCTCACTGATACCCTTGGTTGTTTAGAACACTCCCTCGTGATTCCCCCTCCTCCCTGTCACCATGAAATGAACTGCTCCAGCAAAGCCTGTTCAGAATTTAGGGAGCTTGAAATCCCAGGCTAACTGATGAATCTTTGCCCCAAACAGCAGGAGACATTCAGTAGGTTTTGTATTCCATCTACATGCCAAGCTTCTGTGTCAGCTTGTATCTTGGCTATTTTTAGGAGTATACTGCTTTTCAGCTGCATATTGAGTGGTAGCAGTGGCATTTGAAGTTTAGACTTTAAAGCTTGAGCAATGTACCCAGCCCCTGCATTCCTAAAAATAAAACAGTAATAAAGGAGTCCAGCCATAGAGCTAGCAGGTACCAGTTGTTCCTGCAGCACCCTTACTGTCCTATATTTTCTCTTGGCCATTTTGAGCAACTTATAAAAATCCAGGAATTAGATCAGAAAGATAGCAGCTGCTGTCGCTGCAGCCACAAATAATCCTTCATCAAGTATCCTGGGTGTAAATATACCATCTCCAAATGTTGTCTGGTGTATAAAGGACTTCGAAATGGTCTGTCCTAAATAATAAATAAAATGTAAACAAGGTTTTCCCAAGGAAGGGTTTCACTTTAGGGACAATTTCTGTACTGAGATTCTGAGAAATTTGCAGCACTCTGATGACAAATTGTACTCCTCAGCAATTCCACCCCCCACACATGTTCCACTGCTGACTGCACAGTGCCAGAATCTCTAGCATTTTATAGTGTCATGATCTCTGGGATAATCTGTGAATAGTCTGGACATTTTAATAAAGAGGGACTGATTTTTTTTAAAGGTAATTACTTTTTAGCCTGTACATGGAAGGGGATACAGGAATATTTATAATTGACACATAATAGAACTTCACTGATACCAGTGCTTTATAATTTGTACAAAACATTAGCTGTCTCTCTCCTCATGTCTGTGTAATGATTTGATAACGGAGAGCTGTATTTTATAACCAAGGCTTCATTTCTTTTACAAACTATTTTACAGTCCGTTTACTAGTGTAGTGCTGTGTACTATTATTAGTAGCGATCAAAATAAATGTACAAAGTGCATGTTTTGGTGTATTACCTTGACTGATTTGAGTACTAGCTGAAACCCTGATCCAGCAAAGCACTAGAGTAGGCAGTCTGCTGCATCCAGATGGAGCCTCACTGACATCATTGCAGGATCAAGGCCTAATGCAGAAGTTTTACTAACTAGCAAATGTTCTTCTAGTTCTTAGTGTGCATCAGTGTGGTTCTACAGTAGCAAACTTAAAACAAACTTGCTGTATTTAACAGCCTTTTCACTCTTCAGCTGGTTTATTTTGAAGAGAGAAAAACTGGTTTATAAAAGTCTTATTGCTACTTTTATTGATTGTAGTTCATTAGCTCCCACAATGTACTGGGCATTGTCTATGCACAAATTAAGAGACAATCCCTAACACTGTGGGATCTTGATCCATGACTGGGGCTCCTAGACACTACTGCAATACAAATAGCAAATAACCCACTCAATTTTATATAGTCAGGTGAAAAGAGGAGTTGTGTTTTCTGTAGAACTCACGTCTTTCACTTGCTCACTCTCTCGCTCTCTCTTGTTCACGTGGTTGCATACACACACTTTCTCAGACTCTTATATTTTTCTTTATTTCAAGCCACCTTCCTCACTGCTGCCATGGTAATGAATGACTAGCCAGAGTCTGTTGTCATTTTATAAATTATAGTTTTAATATGAACTGCCCAGCTAGCCAATGTTAGTCCCAGAGTCGTATATAAAATGTCAGCTCCATTTTAAGAAGGCAGCAAAATCTTATTTGTTCCTAAAGAAAGGACATTGTGGCTGAGGGATGATTGCATATGATCATGTTGTAGGACACTCGGGATGTTCCAGTTATTGAACTGTTGAGTGATGCAGACCTTTAAAATTAAAGTTTTATCAATAATTAGAAGCTGTGGCAGCATGCTGCAACCTACAGCTCCACAATTTGGGCATGCAAATGCTGTTTGTGTGTGTATAATATATACACTCCAACATCTGGGTATTCGGATTAAGAGGATGGGTTGAATCGCTCTTAAAAATATGTCCCATTAAATGCTATTTTTTTTTACTTTCCCAAGGCCTCATGGCACACATTGACTCCTTGCTTTGCCATTTCTGTTTTGAAGGTATGAAGGCCGGTTCCGACAGAAGCTTCTTGAATATACAGATTCCAACAATATCGCTTCCCTTTTCCTTACAGCTGCCAATCGCTGGCTGGAAGTCCGCATGGCAAGTACATTACTCTGTGTGGTTGGTTGGTTGGTTTATGCTTCGCTTTGATCCTGGCACTCCATTGATGTATATGAGAGTATCCAGCATATACCTTTGCCGTGTACATGTCTTTTTAAAGAAAACTTGCCCAATTACCCAGTCGATGAAAGTCCAATGGAGTGCAGGAGGGGAGGAATTCTTCCCACAGGCTGCAGCTGTTATTCCAGAGCTGGAATAGGATTCATGGCCCCTTTCCCCCTCCCCCCCCCGGGTGACCATATGAGAGGAAGAAAATAGCGGGACACATGGGGGAGGGCATCGGCAGAGCGCAAAAAAAAATAAAAAGCGGAGTGCCGCCGGCGGAGCAAAAAAAAACCACCGGAGTGCCGCAAAATTGGTCGGGACGCGAGACAAACACCTAAAATCGGGACATCTGGTCACCCTCCCCTCTCCTCCTTCCCTGTGTGGGGGAGAATGATCAGAGTAACAGATCCTCTAGCTGTACCGCCTATCAAGATCCCGCAGGGGGCTGTGCATGTCAGTACACCTGGGCTTCATCCATCCAGCTACCCCTGCTGAGGTTCCATTGTATTGGGTGCTTTCTGCACCAGTAGGGTGTGTGAGGATTTGGGACTAAGCCCTTTCTGGGTCAGCCAAAGGACAGGGCTATTGCCTTTTGTGTTCTTGTTCCCTTTGTACTGCAAGTACAGTAGGTAGGTGAAAGAAATTATCTGTTAAAAATGAGTCTTCAGGAAGGCAATACAGAGAGCTTCTTATGCTGTGTGGTGCTAGCATTTGTATCTGTTTCTGCAAGGCACCGATGTAACAAAGCTGCTGCTAGTCATGTTATAAATGTGCGATCCTTCCATATGCATTACAGGTACATCTGTGTGTCTATTTCATGTCAATCTGCACATTAATTTTAGACTTTCACATATACTGGTATACTTGCCACCTAAACTCAGGATTTTTTTGGTGACTCAGAGGAAAGAGAACTAGCCTGTATTCTATTCAGCAAATAAGGAATAATAATGACGAAGCATCTAGAGATGATCGAGATCCCGTTGTACTAGGCACTGTATAAACATAAACTACATCTACACTGGCAACTGGATGTGGTCCAAGCACATGGTTGTGCCAGAACCCCCCTACTGTCCACATCTAAATCCAGAAATACAGGTTTCAAGACCTGTCCAGGGCAAGAATGCTAGTAGATCTGAGGGGTGCGGGTATGAACATGCCTCGGGCTGTGGCATGGCCCCATTCCCATGCCAGTGCGTAGGGTGGATGGGGTAAGAGGCGTGTCTTGAGTTCAGTAGTCCTCCAGCCCTGTTCCCACAACGTACTGAACCCTTTCCTGCCTGACCTTTTCCAAATCTATAAAGGTCCCTGCCCCCCCCCATTCTCACCTGTAGTGGTGAGCTGTGCTGACCCCTTCACAACAGTTTTCTACTGGACTTTCTTCATCACTACACGTGACTACGGAACATGCTTCAAGAGCTGCTGCCCGGTCACCCAGCCACACCAAGGTCCCAATAAATGTGTGGTCGGAGTTCACCATTTTCCATGACTTCTCCCACAGCACCAGGAACTTACACCTGTAACGGGAAGTTGCAGAGACGCTGGTGCAGGTGGGCATTCACTGTACTCTGGCCCAGTCCCGGGAAGGAATAAAGCACCTGAGGCTCCGGTATCAGAGGGGAAAAGACTCCACCAGTCGCTCCAGGAGAGGTCCTCCAATCTGCCTATTCTTCAAGGAGCTGGACCACATGTTCTCCCGGGCTCCCGCTACTGAGCCTGTGGTGATGCATGACTCCCTCCTCAACCCCCACCAGCCTCATCAGCTGATGGGATGCTGATGAAGGCCATGGTGTGGAGATGGTGGGGACTGCAGAGGAGGAAGCCTTGGAGAAAGAAGAGCATGTCATCCTGCACCTCTGCAAGGAGAAGATGGCTCAGCAAGCCCCTCCTGATGACCTAGAGGAGGACCTCTCTACTCAGCAGGAACTAGAACCTGAAGCTGGTAAGTTAAACCCCACCCTCACCCAGATGGTCCCCAACCAAGACACAACTGTAAATTCAACATTTTATTGAATTACCATAAACCACTATAAAGCTTTTTGCAGAAGCTATAGCATGGATTATTAGTGAACCATTAATACTGCCCCAGAAATAAATGCACCCACCAGGCCAATCATACACTTTAAGACATGACATTTTTAAAAACCATTAGTTGATGTTAACTCCCACTGTCAGCAGGTGCTCCTTACGTGGGGGCTGGAAAAGTTGTCTGAGAACCAAGGATACTGAAACAATCTCATTCCTGAAATGCTGAGAAGTTTCACTATTGTGACCTTCCACAGCAAAGTTATGTTATGTGGGGGGATTTCTTACCTGCTTTCCAAGGAAAGATAAAATATAATGCTGCTCTTGTGATTGACTTGGCAGGACCTTCGTCTGAGAAGAGTGAGCCCATTCTGCCTGGGATCCAGGAGCAACAGCCCAGGGATATTAGGGGCAGGCAAAGCATGACACTGGAGGATGTGCTCATTGGGGTCGACAGAAGGAGCCAGGAAAAGTTTGACTTTGAGGGAAAGAGAGAAATGGCCTATTGGGCTGGAGCAACAGACTATGAAGTGGGAGGAACATTTTTTCCAAAGGCAGGAGGCAATAATGATCTGGTTCCTGGAGCAGGACACATGGTACATCTCTACCCTGATATAACGCTGTCCTTGGGAGCCAAAAAATCTCACCGTGTTATAGGTGAAACCGCATTATAGCGAACTTGCTTTGATCCACCAGAATGTGCAGCCCTGCCCCCGCCGGAGCACTGCTTTACCGCATTATATCCGAATTTGTGTTATATCGGGTCACGTTATATCGGGGTAGAGGTACATGGAATGGGAGTTGCCCAAGGGGACTGGGTCCATGCCCTGTTGCAGTCCCTGATACAAGGGGAGGTGGAATGGATTCAGATCCTGCCTGCCACAGTAGCTGTGCCAGTATCCATAAACTGGCCCCATCCTCCTCCACCTGCAGCCCACCATGCTGCTGAGTTAGAGGACCCAACCCCCACCCTCTGTGATGGGGGTGGGAGGCTGCAAGACTCCAGGCACAATACTCTGTACTGGCACCTGAAACTCCTCCCTGGGGAAGTCCTGTGACTGTGGACAAGAGAAACAATGAGCCCAAGACTGCCTGAAGGCCTGCATGTGTCTAGCCCCCAAACCCCATGCAAGAGAAACCCCTTTTTGTCCCGTCCTCCCCCCCAAAAAAATGTTTTACAGGCACTCCCCCGCCTTGTCCAGAGTAGGGAAAGATCAAGGTCCATAGGGAGTAAAGTTTTAACGTTCTTCAAGAAGTCTGATCCATTCTGTTTTCATTCACAGTTCCTTTTAAAAAAATGTTCAGAGTTATGCTAAATGTACTAGTTTCAATAAATGTTAGCGTCTTTTATTGGTGTGTGGACCTTTCATTTGGGCTTTGGTAAAGGTACAATTTTTTTCCCTTTCAGTTTTGGTCTCCATCAGTCAGTGCTTTGAGTCATATAACTCTCCGGGGTAGAAAACTGCAAAGTCCAGTCTGACCCTCCCAGAACCACACCCCCACACCCCAAAATTTCCCCTGTCCCAGTATATGTGAATATAAGTAAGCTGGAGACATGTTGGAATTGCAGTGTGCATGGAAATAACAAGTAATTTTATTAACTGGGGCCAGGGGAGGGGGCGAGGAAGAGAAGGTGAGTAAACTTCTGTATGGGTTTGACAAAACAACAAGAAAAACAAAGTGAATTAGCTGTGCCATCACATATTGAACAGTGCTAAAACAGCCCTTCCTGCACCCTGAGGCCTGCAAAAAAAACCCACAACCACTTTAAACCATGGGATGCTCACAGTTAACAGTCGGTAAGTGGTTGTATCCTCCCACACAATCACAGTCACCAGAAATGAGTTGTAAAAGCCCCTCCCACATGCTTCATCAACTGTTCTCAAGATCCTTCAGATACTAAGGCCTTGGCTACACTGGCGCTGTACAGCGCTGCAACTTGCTGCGCTCAGGGGTGTAAAAACGTCCCCCCCCCGAGCGCAGCGAGTACAGCGCTGTAAAGCACCAGTGTAATCAGCGCCTGCAGCGCTGCACGCTCGCTCGCAGTGCTGCAAGCTATTCCCCTCGGAGAGGTGGAGTACTTGCAGCGCTGTGAGAGAGCTCTCACAGCGCTGGTGGCGCGACTACACTCGCGCTTCACAGCGCTGCCACGGCAGCGCTGTGAATTCTCAAGTGTAGCCAAGGCCTAAAGTAATCCAGCTGAACTGTGGTTTGGCGAACAGCTGTGAACATTAACACAAAATGAAAGAACAATAAGTGCAATTTAACTGGCCAGACACCATCTGCAGGCCAATCACAAACCAGAAGGTGCTATACCAGCGGAGGTGCCCTGCCCCAGTTACCTGTAATGAGTCATTACCTAAACAATCTGCTAATGACAGTCATTGGGAGAGGAAAAAACCTGTGTTGAAACACAAGTGAAAGGGAATGTTCCCTCTTTTATTTTTACAGTAGCTGCATGGGGTGTGGCACTTTGCTTGGGACCAGGCTGCAGTCACCTACCTGCACACCCATTGCTCCATAATGTAGGCACAAATTGCATCCTTGGTTTCCCTGGCCCACTGTGGTCCAGCGCCAGTATGAACATTCACTGGATCAGGCTGCTCCTTAAAAGTTTTGCAAGCGCATCTTGTCCTGTACACACTCTGTCCTAAAGTACTCACCTTTAATGTCACCAATATTATGAAGGGCATGGCATGCCACAATAATGCAGACAGCGTTGCCTACATTGGCCTCTAATCAAGAGCATAAGCATCATCAACAAGCCTTCAGCCATTCAAAGATGTTCTCCACTACCATCCTGCAGCTGCTTAGTTTGAAGTTGACTCTCCATTTTGCCAGGTGGTTAAAGCTGGTCTAGGGGGTTTCATTAGGCAGCGTAGGAGCGAGTATGTGGGGTCTTCCAGAACAACTGTGGGCAAAGAGAACTACATTGCTTCTGGGGAATAAAGTCCCTTCCTCTCCCTTCAAGTAAAATCCCAATCTTCTCAGCACTCTAGTGTCATGGCCTGTCCTGTGTGTTGGACAGCATTCAGGAATCTGCTTTTGTGGTCCACTAAGCCTGTAAGAATGAGTGATGTACTCATCGATGTACTCACTCGCTCCTTTCAGTCAGCAAGGTATGGGGATGTGGGTGCCATCGATGGTATTTCCACATTGTACAGGGCCATTCTCTGGGACCCCAGTATAATTTCTGGAACTTTGGTGATGGTAACCATGTGTGGGTAGATGAGTGCATTGATGGGTTCACAAATCTGCACCACCACGACCCTGACAGTGGCCTTCCCCACCCTGAAATGGTTTGCAACTGGCCAATAGCTGTCTGATGTTGCCAGCTTCCAGAAGGCTATAGCCATCTGCTCCTGCACTGGGATGGGTCTCCGGAACCTTGTGTTCTGCCACTGTTGGGTTGGGGCCAGCTCTTCACGGAGCTCCATGATTGTTGGCTTCCTCATCCTGAAGTTCTGTGGCCACTGGTCATCATCCTAAATTTCTAATACTATGTAATCCCACCACATGGTGCTGGTTCTCCTGGTCCAGAAGTGGTGGCCTCCCATGGACTTACAGTTGCAATGCCGGTAATCTCCTGCATCTCTGTGTAAGGGGGCAACAGTGGATTACTCCCCATCCTGGCTACCAGTCTTTGGCTTGTGAGAGAGATCCAAATCCTTTCATCCAAAATTCTCACTGGTCACTTATTGCAATGCACTCAAATTTGTCTCACAAGAAAGAGCCGTCTCACAAGCACCATCGGTCACTTGTGCCATGTCTTCTACCAGTTGGGCAGGAGATGGGTGAGTGGGAGCTCCCATCGCCAGATATGTGAAGGCATCTGCAGATCCTAGAATGTATCCTGTGACTCATAGAGCCTTGGGATACTGCCCCTGAAATGCTAGTGCTAACCTTGCTTACCAAAAAAAAGCTGTGTGGACACAGGTATTCCCAGGTTCAGAGTGTACACCCGTGTCCAGCATAGCATATTTGGACACTCTGTGCAGCTGTGGCTTATATGGGCAAGTGTGTACCTTTGTCCAGTTGCCAGCATAGATGTGGCCGTAGAGGAGGACAGTCCCTGCCCCACCTACTTCCCATTCTAAAGTTTTATCTATATATAAAAATTGTACCACTTTAACTATACCAGTTCCATAACCTCTAGTGTGGACATAGTTATACAAGTATAGCTTATGCCTGTAAATTTAGGGAATAAGCTATTCTAATATATGGCACCTTTTATATAATGGGTATGACTGACTCTATACTAGCCACTATATCAGTATAACTATTCCAGTAAAACATCACACACCTAACTGAAATAGTTATATTGGTACAAAAACTATATGTAGACCAAGCCTAATTTAAGATGGGATGGGAACACAACCGTGGATACATCTGACAATACAAAGAAGTGAGAGAGAGAGAGAGGGGGACAAGGGAAACGGTAACAAAAATGGGGGTTAACAGGCCATCTCTATCCACAGATTTAAAATCTTCTGCATGTGTTTCAGTCTTAGCCATGTAAAGGGTTTATTGTTTCAAACTGAACTTTCCAAAATATTTGCATGGTCTCTCTCTCTCTCTCTATATATATATATAGTGATGGAGCTTATTCATATTTCTTCAGGAATACATTGGAGCGTGTGTGGTTCTCATAGCAGCTGTGACTTCTATTACCAAGTCCCTGTACAATCAGCTGTCTTCAGGACTTGTGGGCTTAGGGCTAACCTATGCTCTTATGGTAAGTTAAATCATGCGTTGAGTGGCTTCCCCCACACACGATACTTTCTTTAGGGCACAAAGATGGGAAAGACAGAAGGTGCTGAATACATATCCATATTGGGAAGCTGTAAAAACACTGAAATAGTACATTAACTTCAATTCATATTACGTGGGTGATATGTTTGTTAAGCATATTCTTTTCTGAGTTTTTAAATCCCATGTAAGTAATATACAGTGTAGTTATTAATAAATATATCAAAATGTTATCATTCATTCTAATTGAAAAATAGTATTACTAGATCACTAATTTACTCATCATTATGCTGCAGTCTCTCATTCTAGATATTCAGGGTTTTTTTTTTTTAAAGTAAAAGTTCTCTCTCTCTCTCTTTTAGCTTTTATTTTCTTTCGAATATTGGCATGTAGCACCATAATACCAGAGCACCATAACTAGGATATTTAACTTGCAGCCAGTCTTGCCACTCTGTTAATGTGCACAAAATGTTTCATTGAGCTTATTAAGACTGTATTCTAAATAAACTACACAGAAACAATTAAAAAGCTGTCCTGGAGGAATGGAAGTGCTTGGTAGCCTAATGGTGCTATGGTGTTTCTTTTCCAGTATTTCATATTAGCAAAACATGACATTTATTTATTTATTTATTTATTTATATTATTTCAGGTGTCTAATTACCTGAACTGGATGGTTCGTAACCTGGCTGATATGGAGATCCAGCTGGGAGCAGTGAAAAGAATCAATGGCCTTCTAAAAACAGAAGCTGAAAATTATGAAGGGCTCCTTTGTGAGTGTGGTATTGTATCGCTTGAGAAAAGAACTTGTTAAATATTTAATGATTCACAGTGAATTTCCATAAATAACTTATTAGAGCTTTTAATGAATTGATGAATTGATCACAAGTGGGTTTTTATACTCCGGATACAGCTCCTTCGCAGATTCCTCAGAACTGGCCTGCCAGAGGTGAGATCCAAATACAGAACCTGAGTGTCCGGTATGACAGCAACCTAAAGCCAGTCCTAAAGCACGTCAGTGCTCACATTTCTCCAGGGCAAAAGGTAAAAGAGCGGAGATGATTTGAGAAATGACTCTTTTCCCAGTCAGACCAGCTTGTAATAGAAACCATAGAGTGGTGAGAATGTACTAAGCTATTTTTTATTAATGATTTCCAAAGTTTTTCCTCCACCAAGTTTTAACTCCTCCAAAATAATATATTTCAGTCCTGATCCCTTATACCGGTTTCTTTATGCTTTTGCTCTGGTGCCTTCAAAAATGTGTACTGTTACAGTGATGTACAGTGCTTCTTAATATTCTGGTGCTCCGCTGTGGGACATAGGGCCTCAAAATAAGGGACACTGATACTTGTAATGTGAGATATACACTCCATCATTCCCAAATGGTTTCATTGGTCATCTCTCCCCACTTGTCCCTTTCCCCTCAATCTTGTTTCTCCTCCTTAATCTTGTGTGTCTGCCTCCCATCATACAATGGACTCTCCCACCCAGACACATCCCCTCTGGGGTATTAAACTTTGCTGGCAGCACTAGCCAACCCTCCTTGTGCTCCGGAAGGTCTCCCTGTGGCCCACTGTGCCCTAATATCCCCATGGAGGGCCAGCCAAAATCTAACCCTGAAGGTGCAATTCTCTTTTAAAAGACAAAAGGGTGAAAATATGGCCCCTGCTGAAGACAATTCAGTTTTGTCATCGACTTCAGACGGGGCCAGAATTTCACCCCAAGATGTTTGTTGCAAATGCCCTGTACAGATATTTCTCCGTCCTATTCATTTAATGTTCTACTCATCTTGTTTCTGTGTTGTAGATTGGAATCTGTGGCAGAACAGGCAGTGGGAAATCCTCCTTCTCTCTTGCCTTTTTCAGAATGGTTGACACCTTTGAAGGTAGGCTCACACCTGTTCCCTCCAATCAGGGTTAGCTCCCTGAGGAAGCAACTTTGAACCTTCTTCATCTGACACTAGCAGCCATGAATTACAAAGACCATAAAACTGTGCTAGTCATTGTTGCTGGGCTTATTTCAAGTAAGGGATCATCTGTCTTTCATCAGCTTCTGCCTTATTGATAACCCAGGTTGATATAAAATCTCATTCAACGTGATCAGTGTTTTCTAACGCCATGAGCAGCCTCAGGCAAGTGTTTCCATTAAAAATAAAAAAGGACTTCAAACGTGTATTTTTTAAAAAATCCATATTCTGTGTCAATATTGATTTCCTATAAGGCCTGAATCTGCTCCTTTTGAAGTCAATAGCAAAATTCCCATTGACTTCAGAGAGAGCAGGATTGAGCCTTTAATTTACAGTTATTTCCAAAAGTAGACTTGCATGTCTCCACATCCTTTATGCCCTGCTCTAGAACTTCACAAACAAACTCTTCCTGACATTTTCACATGGGGAGGAGAGGGGAGAAAGAACCACTCATGATAGAGGTTAGTCACATCACTTAATGCACTTCAGGAAGGCACTTGGATATGGTTGTGATGGAGGGGCTATAAGAACCTGAATAGAACAGAACAGAATTGGATCCCTCCGTAGCTTGAGGCATGGACAACTCCTGGACGGCATATAGAGTGTGAACCCTTAGAGACCTGAAGGGAAGAAGTTTCACCTGCGCTTGCCCTCCTCAACAAATGCAATTTAGCTATGTTCTCCGATATCTGATCATTTATTCTGGGTTATTAGACATCTTGCAAATCAAGTATATCATTATTTGTGTGGCTCTGACCTCTTCCAGGTCTCTCTGCATGCATCCCTTAGGGTGCTAGGCTTTTGCCTGTTCTGGAGTGGAATCCCCCGATTCTCCCACTTTCAGAGTGGCCCCAAGGCTACAATAACTCGAGTACCAACTGTGATTGTTCAGCAGGTCTGACTAGGTCCAGCTACCTGGAAGTCTTTCTTCTGGGAGCCGTGACCAGTGATGTATACAGTGATCCACTACAGCCGTTTCAAAACAAAGCATTGTTTAATCACAGGAACAAAGCCCAACAAGAGAAAAAGGAGCTTAACACAATAAAAGGTTTACACACATACCTACCTGACCTAAAGCTTATGTAGGTGGAGCTTAACCCAAACATCCCAGAGAGTGCTGGGGAGCAGACTGAAACCCTAGAGGTTGGCGGACGGGGTTTCAGTCTGTTCCCCAGCACTCTCATTCCCTGTGCTGCAGGGACATCTCTTTATCCTTTCTGAAAGTTCTTTGTTCCAGTTTGCTGCCTGTTTTCCCACCCCACCCTTGCCAAGCCAGACTGTTCAACTCATCAGCATAGCTGGATGTAAAACTTCAAAGTGATTGATACTTGCATTGTCCATTAAATATGGTAAATAGGGCTGTCTGAACCTATTGTCCCCTTTCCTGTGTGCCTAACCTTTGCTTGAATTAACCCCTTGTAATCATATAGCAAACAACACAATAATCATCAAACAAACAGATGGGATATATAATATTCATAAAATATAACAGGCATCTTCCATGATGTAGTCTCAAGGGAATTGCACTTTCTGCTTAGCAGTAACTCGTTTCACTGGTGAATAAAGTAATATGTACCCCAAGGGTTAGTCTTGCATGCTTCTCTGTAATATAATGCAAACTAAAATCAAGTTGTGTTGTTGGTTGCTAGCTATATGATGTCTAGCAGACTCTCAATGTTCTTTTGAATAGGGAGGATTATCATTGATGGCATAGACATTGCAAAGCTCCCTTTACAGACGCTAAGATCCAGGCTGTCAATCATTCTCCAAGATCCTATTTTGTTCAGCGGTACAATCCGGTAAGCATAAAGCACAAACAACAAGAAACAGCTAGGATTTGTGTTATCACAGATTATGATTTTTGAAGAGAGAGCAGCAGCAAACTATGCAGTTAAGAGGCCTCATGCTCCACTACCTTTAATTAAAAGAGGGGAGCATTGTCTTCTCTGTGTGCTCCTCCCCACATCATCCTCGGAGCCCAGGAAGCACTTCGAAAACAACTGCACCTGGTCAACGCTCCACAGTTTGGGAGGGATGCTCCTTAAGGTGGGACCTGGGACTAGTCACTGTCTGTGACCTGCTACCCTCAGGACCCAGTGGGTTAGCCAGCCGAAGTCATCTCAGGAGATTGTGAGACTGGCATTAACCAGCCCTTTAGAGGTGAAGTGGGGAAGATGTAGGTGGTGGGGGGGACTGCCATGGTACATAACAAAGGAGAGTGGAAGGGAACCAGGGAAGCAGTGCAAAGGCGGTTCAGGTTCTGTTGGCTTGGAGCTTAGTGCTCTGTTAGGTTTCCAGGACCTTGCCCCATTCCCTCCTCCATGAGTTCAAAACCTCTTTCCTATGTGGGGAAGGTGAAATGGAAACTCAGAGAAGAGAATTTCACAGAGTTTCCAACAAATGCCATCCCCTCCTATGACGTTTTCCACAAAAAGGGACAATCTAACCCTTAATAAAGAGTTATATTGTCTATGTACGCTAATTTGGGCATTAAAGTAGTTAGAGTGGAGTTTCATTTATAATGACTTATAAACTGCTGAAGTTTGCCTATTGATTCCATGAGACTTCTCCTGAGGCAGATTATTTCCTGTACTTGCTTGAATAGGGCATGAATTATTTATATCAGAAGATAAAATGGCAGTATATATTTGTTTTGTTTGTTTACTTATTCAAGATTTTATTTAGGCCAACACTGGACATTCACCACATGAACACTAGGAGTAAAAAGTGAACCAAAGATCACATTTGCTGCTGCAAGTCTTTTATTCCTGAATATCATGTTATATTTTAAGCAACATGATATGACATGAAGGAGATAAGCACTTGTTGCTGCCTATTTTGGGTGATAATAGGCTAAGGATGCACTCAGAGTGGTTGATAACAACTGTTGAGTAATTTATAGCTACTGTTCTGCTGTGGTGATGCCCTTTTGTGTGTCATAGTTCAGCATCATGCTGATCATTCTGTGTACCATAAACTGGTATTGTACCATGTTGGATTCAAAGGATCAGATTCTGATCTCAGTTTCACTGGTGTAAATTCAGAGCAAATCCACTGACTTCCATGGAGCTATTCCTGACTTGGACTGATGTGAGATCAGAATCAGGCCCAAAGTGTTTAATCCATCTATATAATTATGTGTGTATTTGTTTTTAACCACACAAATATAAAGATGTATGAGTGAATTTGATGTTGATAGTTAACTTTTAACTGTATTGAAACATAGGTTTAACTTGGATCCAGAAAAGAAATGCACAGACAGCATGCTGTGGGAAGCCTTGGAAATAGCACAACTCAAACATGTGGTGAAAGCACTACCAGGAGGTTTAGGTAATGCTTCTCTTTGCTTTGGGAAAATGCTTCCAGTGTTAAATTCATTTCTATTTAACATTTAGTTAGTAACTTACAGCAAAATGGCTGTTACTGAAGCCACTTAGAATCAGGCAAGCTGGCCCAGGTTTTTGTGGGGCACTGTATGAAGTCAGATAGATGGGCTGGGACCCATCCAACTCCCTCTCCTGTTTTACCCCTAGCCTGGGTAAAGATATAAATGACTGCCACTGGGATGTCAATTAAACCCCTATTGAGGTCAATGACAAAACTCCCATTGACTGCAGTAAGTCCAGTTTTTCGCTCTTGGTCTCTAGTCCTGTGGCCACTGGCATACCGTCTATGTATGCAATGCATGCATTGCATGCCCCAGAAATACGTTCTACAAGAATACGAAAGCCCTGACCAGCTGTGTCTGTGGGACAATTCCTTCCGGCCCCCAAATGCACACGAAGTACACAGTTTTCTAGAACAAAATGGCATACTCCACACAGCGTGGTGTGTGCAAGGTCACACCTTGCATGCAAGTGTAGAATTGTATGCCTTACTAAAAATGTCGTGGTACTCCACTCACTGTGGCTAATAAGTCAAGTGTATGCAAACAGATATAAAGGTAATTGAGATATTAAGGAGGTTGCAAATGGAAATATAAAACAAATTAGAGAAAATGATTGTCTTGTGGGGTGGAAAAAAAAGATGGACATATAAGCTGGCAGTGGGATATAATGCCCCAATACACACACAAAATCAAAGAAAGACCCTGTTTCAGGAAATGAAATAAGTCTAGCAACCCATCTATGTAATAGATTCAAAGAATACTGCATGATTGGAGTGGTACTGTGGATAGATATACTAGCGAGAGAGATACAGTCTGTCACATAAACATGTTAAAATCATGTTGGTATTCATGGAATTGTTTGTGAGTGCTGCACTGTGTTCTAATATGCGCCAGAAGGCGGCATTTCCCCAGATTATTTTTTCCCTTGAAAGAGCAATGTCCTTGGATTTCTGTAGGGTGGTTGGGTCTCCTTAAGAATTCCAGCATTTCCTGTAAGCTACTTTCACTATTGCAAATGCATTTAAGTACTTGAGTGCAGTACTCAGACACATAAAATGAATCTTAGAATAGGCAAATGAAACAGGTATTGGGTGCTGAATGAAATGTACTCTACAGACTGATCCAGACAGCTGTTTTTAATAAAATAAAATCAAGTATGAAATGTACAATACATTACAAAACACAGCATTGTAAGCTCCTTGGGACAGGGACTATCTCATGCTCTGTGCTCTGCACAAGGCTGAGCACACACTGTCCAAGCTCAACAAACAACAATAATCGTAACGTCATGAGCTAAATCCTGCTCCTGGTTACGCCTGTTCTACTCACTGAAGTTAGTGAGAGCAAAACTTTGCCCTTCTTATGCATTTATCACTACTAGCCCTATCCATTTTTTTAAAAAAAATCCTGAACATGAATTTTAGGTAGCCTAATCACCCATTGTATGCCTAGCGCATTCTTAATCATATCCAACAGCTGACTGTGCAGTCATGGAGCATAGTTCCAAACAGTTCAAAATCCCAATGACTTCAATCTCTATTGAGGACATCCCAGGTAACTAGTAGTACTCAAATGTGTAATATTACAAGGGATACATTTGTGATTTCAAATCAATCTGCTCTTGGAAAATGCATATCACCTGTCTTTTATTGTCACTCTTTATGCTGCATGACACCTGCTGTACCTTTCTTTTTGTGCACAAGGAGTCTGATCCTGCTGACCTTATTCAGACAAAGCTCTTTTTGATTCCAGTAGGATTTTGCCTGAGTAGGGACTGCAGGGTTTGGCCCACAAGCAGTCGATGCTGTCTCACGTAAAGTTGTTTTCCTTCAAGAAGGCAGCATCATAAAGACACAACTCCATTTAAAATAGCTTATAACGACTAGTTGTTCTGACAAGTTCCTTTGAAGTCAGTCATATTTTAATACAGTGTTTCCTTTTCCTCAATTTAATGTGTATACACAGAAGTTATTCGCCATCGGGGTAAGCTAGATAAAATGAGACACTCAACCAAATTTGTAGGAGAAGGGAGATCTTCCAGGGATTAGTTGTCTGGTTTGCAAGAGACATATCAACAGATTAGGTTAGAGTGCTTTAATCTACACACAGGCATTGTGGCAGGTTTATAAAACAGAAAGACACATTTCATATATTAATTTCTCCCCTTTGCATTTGATTTACATCAAAATATGTTGGAGGGGAGGGTTCCCTATAGTATTTCAGTTTCTTATTTACTTGGCATAGTTCTTTTTATGCAGTTCCTTCAGACAACATGTCAGAACAGTATGCCCATTTTTATTTATATGAAGAACTACATTTAACTATATGTGTGATGGACTTTGGGTTTTCATTTCTGTACATAAGATGCATCAATTTTGAAAATAACTGTGTCCTGTTCTGCCATCCTCATGATGAATAGTAACTTACTTTATGAGTAATGCTGCTGAAACCAGTGTCACTACTCAATCTGAGTAAAGGTGGCAGAACTGAGCACCAGCAACTTAAGACCTATAAATTATCTTAAAAATTCTTAACATAAGTATGAGATCTTACTTTGTCGACATGCTCTCTGTGCTCCCCTCCCCCGCAACAGCCTAAATATTATTTTTGTTGTCCAGATGCCATAGTCACAGAAGGTGGAGAAAATTTTAGCCAGGGGCAAAGACAGCTGTTCTGCTTAGCACGGGCATTTGTGCGGAAGACAAGTATCTTCATCATGGATGAAGCCACAGCATCTATTGACATGGCAACAGTGAGTTCAGAGTTTCAAGGTTTTTTTATGATTTTTCAGAGAGGGTAGCCACACTATTGTTAGTAACCAGAGATGAAACTTATGTAAAATATTTCTACTTAATATTGTGTGAACACAAGTTTCCTTGCAAGTGTGTTTACAGGCTGGCTCCATCATAGACATTGACCATATATGAGAGTCACTGTTAACTAGTCTGACAAATCTATCTTACTTGGGGTTGAGTCCCTCACGATATACTAAATTGAAGCATTGGTGCAAATGTTTTTGTATTGACAGTTCAGTTTCCTAAAGTAAATAAGTCTTCTGAGGCTTAGCTATGGTGGTCAGTTGAGGACAAACTTGGCTGGTAATGTTGTGCCTCCTCCAACTTGTACTAGCCAGGCATAGCAAGTTTCTTGGTGAATGCTTCAGCATGATTGAGAAGACAAGTGATGAAGAAGTTTTCACCCTGCAGGGGGGTGAAAGTAAGGTCAAGTAAATAAATAAGAAATAAAAAAGACCTGTTAGATCATTGCATCTATCCTCCTGCAAGTGCAAGCTAGAGTCCCTAGTAGAGGATAAACTGCACACTAATACTGCCCTGGCTGGTCTTAGCCAAATACAATAGAATATTCTAAGTTGATTTG